ATTGAGTGGACTGGCCGAACAAGAACCATTTTTAGGAGGATGATTTATAAGAAAATTCAATGAACTGGAACCTGTTTCTGAAAAAAATGAATAAATAACTTCAAATCGCCAATATTCAATATGAGGATATTGAATCAATAATTGTTTCGTTGCTGTAAAATTTTTTGTATATCTCCCTAACATAACAAAATTATTCAATGTATTAAAAAGTAATAAATTATCTACCATAAAACCAAATATTTTCATAAGTATTTATTTCATTTAACATTTTCCATTGAATAATATTTGAAGATAAAATCGTACCTTGATAGATATTCCAGATAATACTTAAAATTTTTGTACAATTACCAGTACAAATAGAGTAAAGTGCTACTTGTGTTGTTGGATTGAGATATTGATATTCTAAATTTGGTTGACACATTTTTGAAATACTACATCTAAGTCAAAATGAAATTAATTAATTTTCATACATTAACGAAATAACTTACGCAACAGCAATCACTCGAGAACGAGTATCAACAACATTGACAAGTACAAATCCTGTAACTTGAATTGAAGAAGTTTGACGATTTTCCATACGTACCATAAATTGATAAGTTCGATTTGATAAAAGTGAACCAGCAGTTATTGTTAACGATGAGTTTGGTGCCGTCGACATCTCATTAAAATTCCATAATATTCCATTGCCTTCAAAACATAATAGCTTCTCAGCATCACTCGATATTGCTAAACTTTGAAAACTCGAGACCCCATAGATTCGACAGTAATATTCATAAGTCCAATGCTATTTCAAATATCAAACATGTTCAACAATATTCAAAAGTTGATTTTCAACTTACAGTTGCTTCAAATTTATTTTGATCAGGATCTACAGAATAGCTTCCTGGATCCAATATTAAATTTTGTTGATAACCATGTGTAATCATCGTAGTTCCTAATGGAGCTAGATTTGCTGCTATACCTGATGGTGTGATTCTTACAAAAGCAGACGCGAATGAAGTTAAATTTGGTGAAGCATTCATTGTGACTGTTAGTTTTAACTCATAGAGTCCATATGGAAATGTTCGTGCTGGAATAAAAAGTTCGCTAAAATTCGTTATGATTGTTTGATCAAGTTGAACTGGTGATGAACATTCCAATGAGCAATTATTTATTGTCCATTTTGTAGTTGTTGTTAGTGAATCATTACAGTTAAGTCCAATTTTTGAAAGTATATAAAAATCTTGACTTCGACGAAACTGTAATGGTGATGATAACGATGTTCCACTTGGAATTAATCTTATTTTCGGTCGAAAACAACCTTCAATACAATATATTCAGAAATTCTTTTACATCATATTCAATGATTACTTTCGTTGACAGATGCCTTTGTAGTTGTGGATATTGTTTGGGACGCATTAATGGTTGATGATGTTTGGGACGCAGTAATAGATGATGCTGTTTGGGAGGCAGTAGTGAATGATGTTGTTTGGGACAGATTAGTGGTTGGTATTGTTGCGGACACAGGAATAGTAGAGGTTGTTGGGAACATATTAGTAGTATCCTTTTCTATAGCAAGATTCACATGCTTAACCATCATGAATTTCATGTAGGTGTGGGTGGGGTACATGAATTATATAACCACAGTCACACACTTACCCTCATTTTTTGTCTTGCTACTGCGTACTTACTATAATGTTTTATTATATTTATCATAAGGTCAGCAAAGATGTTTTGCATAACTTTGGTGAAAGAAGAGGGTACACGGAGATGTGTACATGGTTTTACTGGAAAAGGTAGCATTTTCAACTAGATAGATAACGAAAGATGGTCAAATGTTTAAAAAGAGATGAGTATGAGTAACTACAGCGAATCTAGACGGTGGGCAGAACAGGATGTGATTTTGAAAACGACGGAATCCGGTCTATGTTCGTTTGTTGTGATAGGTAAGCGTATGCCTAGTCCGAATCGTGCGGAAAATAAGAATGGCATCTGTTCATTGTTTTCGAGTGCAGGAAATCATCGAAATCAGGTCGAAAACTGAGGAGGGAACCGATTTCAGATTTGGTGTCATGAAATTGACAGATATTCGCTGGATCCGGTCGCTTTCTACTATACTTTTTCGATTATATACTAACAACGTCTGTAACGTGTGGGGAGAGAAAGAAAGCTCAAAAATTCTACCCTATGCATGTTAACAATTCTTTTAGATCCTGTTTTACTAAAAGTCTAGGATGATTCGTAAGCCTTTGTTTAATAAGATATTATTTAAATGCAATACTAGAAATTCACATCTCCAAGACTATGTTAAGCTTTTTCTAAACTAGTGTCTCATTTATCAATGTCATCTCGTTTTTTTTAGATTTCAATTCAATAAAAAATTATTGATAAATTATAATTTTACAATTATATTATTTTGTTTTTTATCAACTCAGGTTCATTCCCATAGTTGTCCATGACTGTATGCCAATCAATTACAATAAATAACGATGCCCAACGGGGTTGTTTATGACAATATATACAACTGTTTACCTTAATGGTAATGTGCTTAATAGATTGTATCATTGGCTAAAATCAGCGAGATTCTACTAGATCGTTAGTTCATCTGATGCTCTTCATCTGTCGGATCAAACAAGTTCCTATAACAATTCTGTCACAAGGGATTCGACAATTCTCAATAGACTTTTGTCGGAAATTATCAAATTATTTGAGGTTTTCTTTAGGAGTCAAGTGCAGCGTTCATGAAAGAACAAGAATTCGAATGATTTAGAATTGAGGTATTCAATGTTAGAACAGTGAAAGAACAAGCTCGCTTTCACCTTCACTTTGTACTTCAAATGTCCAAAAATTGACATCATCAACAGGTGGACTTTGTGGTCCACAAACACTTGGATCAGTGACAACTGACCTAAAAGTAAGAATAAAGCGTAATTTGCAATAGACACATCTTTAAATTTTATTTGCATGTTATTACTAAAAAATACAATAAAGCCCGTAATGACTAGATTTATAAATGGTCTCTTATGAAAGTTGACATACATCCTCCATCTTTAGAGGATAACGATTTCAACGTTCGATTTCAGTAACTTTCTACTTAATATACTTCTGCTTCCATGATTAGATTCGACTTGTTTGATGAGTTTTCCAGAAAATCATTCAATAACCAATCAATTCAGAAAAAAAGCCATAATGGGAGTGATAACTCACGTGATCAATTTCGTTCTAACCCTCAAGATAATGTATGTCTATATCAAGCGAAATCAGTCTTTTTAATGGTCGAGCGAGTTTTTATGAATGTATTAGTACCAGAACATTCAGTGTCACATAAAACGATTGTTTTTTTATTTCATATTATGTTTATCTTGTTATAACACTAAACATGATAGATGAAGGCTTATATGAAGACGTTTCCTGTAATGTATTTAAAGTGAATTATGATGAGATAAGTGATATGCATCTCTTTTCATATATGCTTAGTTTTAGTTTAGTTTTTGTAAGAAGTTCTCATTCATTTATATGCATGGCCACGGCTGGCACATCCTAGTTTTCAAATGCGGTACTAATCCTATTAGAATGAGGCATATGACTTTTTCTGAAAGAGATGGGGTAGTTTGGAACACTGCTGATAGAGATTTCTCTTCTGAATAAAACGCATATTGCACTTTTATCTATTAAATTTCAATTTTATTATTCAATTTTTCACAGAGAAAACCTTGTAGGTAGGAAATCATAATTGTAAAAACAAATTTAATGTACAAAAATTATCCTTTTCGTAACTTTGGGAGCATTTTATTAATTTAGATTTATGTGGCAATTATAACTAAGTGAAGAGAAAAAAATAGGTATTAAACTTTATTTTGATCTGAAGATTAAAAACAACTTAAGAGATATCTGAATAGATAGAATACCCACGGAAAAATTCTTCCGAAAAAAACCGCGGTTTTATTTCGCATTTTGAAAAACCGCGAAAGTCAGACCATTTATGCGTTTTTTAAAAACCGGTTGAAAGCGCGGTTTGTAATATCACGGTGAGAACAGAAAAAAATGCGGTTAGACCTGCAAAAGCTCAGCTCGGACCGCGGTTTTCTCGCTTCTCACCGCGGTTTTCGCTGGTTTCAAAAACCGCATAAACGGTCTGACTTTCGCGGTTTATGAAACCGCAGTTTTTTTCTTGAAAAATTTTCCCGTGGGTATAATCACAAGTCATCTCATTTGAATACCAATTTATGGAGAAGAAAAGCTTAATAATCGAAAAGGGTACATTTAGCGGTGCTCCGCATGACGAATGCAGGTATTAGTAAAACTCCTTTCCAAGAAATTCACGTTAGTTTTCATAACATTATTGAATGGAAATTGAATGAATAGATAATACGATTATCTGAATTACCTGTCTAATAGAATATAATAATGTTCACCCTAGAAATAATATAATAATTAACATAAATCAAGAAAATAAATGATGACATACCAAAATCCAGTTAATCGAAGTGAAAAAAGTAAGAGTATTCTTTGAAAAAATAACATCTTTTAAATTAGTTCGAACATTAATTTGATGAACTTGTTTGTTTGTTGAATTGGAATAAAAACGAACATATGCATCTAAACTAGGTCGACGAACTTCATTAGTATATTCAATATACCAAACACTTTGATTTGAATAAACTTGACCAACAGGTTTCAAACTTCCTGTATTTAATTATAATTTAATTTATTATATCAAGAGATAAATAGAATTACCATTTATATATTTGAAACGAGCAAATTTCGAATCATTATCACTTACGAAATATTTAATACATACTTGATCGCCTTGTTGATTCCTATCATCCAACTAATGTACAGACATAGAAAGATTCTTATTTAATTATGAAGAGTATTAGCCTACAGGGGTATAACAAAGAAGATTAGTGCCTATATCCATTGATGTTGGTGTCCAGGTTATGCTTATTGTATATAAAGAGGAGTTTGACGGATTTACTTTTAAAGGACCAACCATCATGCCTAAAAGAAACATCTTTAGATTTAATTTTTTGTTTTCGTATTATTTCTACCATCAGGCTTGTATATATCAACTTCTATCACAGTAGTTGTTGCACAACCAATTGAAAACTGTGCAATTTTGTTAATTTTTGAACCAGTATTAACAGAAATACATGAACCTGCTTGTGGTTGTCCACAATAGAAAGGCGCTTTGCAAAAAAAAAACACAAACGTTATTTTTTTTATTGTATATGCACAAAATAACGAGTCACACTTAATGAATGATCGATATTAGCAACTTGTCGCTTCTTGATATACTTTATTCAAAATCAAACCAATCATAAATATAAGAGGCCAAATCATTAGGGCTGAGTAAGTAAAAGCATGTGTGTAGACTCAACTTAAGCCTACTCTAGCTTGAAATCGTTTCGCCGCCTATGATCATAGAGTACAGCAAAATAATGACTAGATTTTGGTATTACAAAAAATTCTTTGGTTTACATGACTTTATTTTAAGACTAAACAAAATATGAATGAAAAGTTTTTCAAACTTATACAATAGATCAATTTTCATAACATCAGCGATATATGTTTATTTTGTCACTACAAATTGAAGAAATTTTCACTCAAATGTTTGCTTAGTCTCAAAGAAATGTTTTTGTAATGTCGAAATGTCGAAATTACTTTGCTGTGCTCAGTGATATATTTGATTTTGAAGAAAACATTTCAAGAGGCGTAAATACCGATCATTGATTATTCGTCATTCTTTATTCAATATACGTGTTCTGCAGCTATGATTGCTTGAATAAACAATGGCAATGAATTGTAAAGATGTGCTTGAGAGAGGCATTGTCTGTGATGAAAACTCGAAATCTTCGAATTTCAATGCTACTACCCAAGAACCTGTTGTTGTTGCTGTATAAGTAATAGTACATGGTTCCTTATTTAAGATAGCATTAGGAAGTCCATTGCACACACTATCAAAAAGTAAAATCACTTGACACAAAAAAAAAACCAAAGAAAAATATACGAACGCAGCACATTCATCAGGTGGTCCTTTTCGAGCCCACCGACAACGAACGACATCTCCATCGGTATCTACCACTGGTATTTTCCATGTATATTCGGATCCAGCATGCAATAACTTAATAGATGACATTGAGCTTGTTGGTGGTGTATTATATGTACCTAGATAATCATTCAATGATTGAAGTTGATAAAAGTTACGCATATGTATTTATTCATGAGTTTCTCTTGCCAGACCATCGTTCAATTTTACTTTTTTATTTTGTTGAAAATTATATGATTTATCTGTGAAGTAGATAGAAAACCTCTTGGCTAAGCCAGGTTCATTGGGTTTTGCAATAGGCGCCCATCAACTGAATTTTTAAATAAAATATAAAATTTTCAAAAGATATTGCCTGTTTCTAATAAAATTTTTTAAAATCTCACGTAATTCTTCCATTGAATAAAAAAAATTTTTTAGCGAACAGCAGTTATATAAAGCAAAACAAGGAAAAGGATAAAATGGTCATTACCTTAAAAGCTTTCTTTATATGCAAGACAATGCCGTAATCTAGTGCTCCTTGTTCATCTACAATTATAGCATAATCATCAATGGCTTTTCTAACTCTAATTCTATTTCTATTGAACTTTCTCAATCATCAAATTTTAATTGACATTGTTTCTTCAGCTACCGGTGCTGATTCATCATCATACATAAAGCAGTATACACCCGAAGGCATCTAAGAAAATCGCACTGTTTTTTATGAATTATGTCCATGCCTGCCTGTTAGTTTTTCTATTATTTAACAATGTTTTGGCTGCCAGTGGCATGACGATATGAAATAACAAATCCAACATTAGACATTTTCACTGTTAGTAATCTTTTTTTTTGTTATTTTGACAGACTATGAAATTATACTAATATATAAACTTCAATTTTTCATGATGAATCATTCTAATCTCATAGATTAAACAATTGTTCTGATGTGTTAAATATTAAGTATATAACTGAATACTTTTTAATGATAGACAGTACTCGTTAATAAATAATTTATTTCAGGTGATTCTATTTTTATTTTACAGAGAATCTTCAGTTGTATATGGAGTAAACGTATAGCCATAAATCATGCAACTGTGCATGATATATAGGTCACAATATAGAAGAGCGGGTACTCAATATTCCTTGAAAGTGATGTTTTTGTTGAGACTAAAAATGTTCAAGTTCTGCTATACTGATCTCATGTCCTTCGACCACCTTGAAAAAAGCTAGAAGAAAAAAAAATACTAGCACCGAAGAAGAATGTAAGCGATAGGTTCGTTCTTTTAAAACAACAACCATTGACATATGTTGTTACACCAAGTTGAGGATCAAACAAATCTTTATGCTGCAATGTTTTTGCTTTTTCAACTAAAAACCCTGAAAAATCCTGTTGAATTCAAACGAACTGAAGGTTTTGTAAGTTGACAAATATGTTATCGAACATTTTTTTTTGTATATATCAACAACCGGTACTCAAAATATGCTTGCTCACCAATGTGTTTAAAATTTATCCAATGCAGTTAGATGACCGGCCCACGAACGCTCATGGATGAGCCGGTTTTTAAGAAAAAAGTCATGACCAGGGATGGGCCAAATATCGACGGTCTATAGGCCGACTTTCTTCAGTCGGATCCATTGAAACCTCTTATACGTACCATCTGATCGAGGAATCGTCGTTATTTCCGCTGATATAGACCAACCACCATCAGCACCAACACCCAATGTGCTGATCCAAGAACCACCTATGAGTGTACAAAAATTGCAAAAATTAGTTAAAAAAAGAAAAAGAAACCTTGAAAGGCCGCTTCAAATTTTACATTGGCTGATACATTGATAACTGTAGATACTTCACCAACGCTCCAATCATTCTTTATACTGTATGCAACGCACGGAGCACTGACAGAAGCGAGAACACCCGTGGTAGAACATGTCGAAATACAATTAACACTACCGTTACCAATTAGACCCTTAGTAGTGATCGTGGTATCATTGCAAAATATTGAAGAGCGCCTCCAAACATGCCGTTGTTTAAGAATGATAGCCACTGGGTTTTGATTAATAATATGAGGATATTGTGGCTAAAGAAATATAGACATCAGGTGAATAGAACAATCTGTTATGCTAATATCAAACCTTCCATGTAATGAAGCCACCTCGATAGTGCGTTCCATCGATTAATATTGAAACTATAACGAAGATAACGATAGATAATGCCATTTTCAACATTATCTACAATTGTAATAAACATCAATATATTAATTAGAGAAAAATTATGAATTTAGTTAAGAATTATTTCAATCATATATTAACAGTAATCTATCGGTATGAATTAAAACTCTTCTTTTTGTCTTCCTACTTTTTTATGATGACATAATTCGAAGGATGAAAGCAATAATATAACATCAATAGGTACGCTTTGTATTTGTATAAATAGATGTGAAGACAAACATGTCTTATTAATCTCTCTCTGTCGATATTATTTTTCATGTCAATAAATCTCGATTTTTCTGTCTCCTGGTTTTTCTCCATGTTTAACATGATTTCTGCAAAAGTAATGTACGTGTTTTCCAGTATGTTTGATAATTTTCATCCAATGTTTAAATATTCTCAGATAACCTGACATTTCATAAAACATGATTAAATGACATACATGATTTTGAAATAATGTAATCTTATATTATTTGCAATCGAAAAAAAATCCTTTATTGTGCATGAATTTACGATATATAAACAGAAACCAAACCATCATACGATGTATGTCGAATTTGGCTTAAATTTATTCATCACCAAACATGTTCGATTCTAAAACTATATCTTAATCAAACTATTCAAGAGATGTAAATATTGATAAAAGTCTTGAAAAGAAACAGGGCGTGCGTATGAAGTGGATGTGAGAGAAGGTATAGTTCTTCTTTAACCCACAGCCACACCTTTATTATATATAAAATATATTGAGTGTAGATTCAAAACAAAACGTTCGAAACAAGGAGATGATTACAACATTGCATTTTATGCTCAATTTATGCATGAACCAAAGAACATCGTGTGCAAAAATCATTTGGTTTCGAGCCTACCTATAAATGATAAACGTAAATGTAGACAAGCAAATCGAATAGAAGAACCAAACGCACTCTGATCCAATGAGATAACTAATGACCTTGTTTGTCTAAATATTGATTGTTCAACATCATATTGTACTTGTTATCTATAAGTCTGGTCTGCAACAAAGATCGAAATCGAATCGACTTTGACCTCATTTAGCAATCATCGTTCTGTTCTCCATGAACATAGATCTTCGATTTTAGAGTAATAAACCTTTAGTTGTTTCGAATACTATTTTTCTGTTATAAAGCTTTAATATCTGACGCTTATCGTAATATGAATTATTCTTGTCAGTTTATATTGATAAGGTAAATATCTTGTTTTAGTTCTTATCCTAATTTATTGAGTTCGGCTCCAGTCGTGGCTCATTGAATCATCACTGCCATTTTCGAATGATGATTGTTCTGATCCTTTTCTTTCTTCTCTCTGTGTATTGCTTCATGTCTCTCTCACATTCTTCTAATGCCTTTTTCAAAAATTTTAGGTGATTCAATTTTTAATCATCACGATTAAAACTACGGACATTAAAATGAGTGAAACAACAACGAGTTACATATGATGCATTAGTATTACTAAGGTAAGTCAAAAATGTCACCATGTTTACCTGCAACAAATGATGACGGATCAAGTTGATTTATTTGAACTGCTTGAGCAAGTTTTTTAAGTGGTTCCATGAAATATTCATTTGCGAATGCCCATGTACCCCAATGAGTACCAATCGAAGTTTTTGATTGAACATCAATATGTATTTGAACAGCTTCATCTGGTGACACATCTTGAGCTTGCATTATCCATTGTGGTTCATAAATACCGATCGGTATAGCACTTAAATCGAATGGACCATATTTTTTGCCAATTTGTCGAAAAATTGAAATGTTATGAGTATAACCTGTATCGCCGATAAAGTAGAATTTATGTGTAATATCCCAGACAGCATGACTGCCCCACAAAGATTTGTTTAAATCGAATGCAGTACGACGACTACTAGAATAAAAGAGTGTTTTATTACTATCAAAAAAATACCAATAAACATTACCAGTGTTGAGCTGGACAAAAAGCAATGTTTACTTCTTTTTTCTAAAACATAAACCAAAAATATGCATTACAAAAAAGTTTTCAAAATGATTCTTTTCTTACTGAAAAATAATATTCTTCCCACCAATCCAGTTCTACAACATTTTTTATATGATTATCAAGAAACCATTGTCTGTTATACCACATTGTTTTCTATAATCATTCAGTTTTTTTTAAAAGAACACGAGAGAGATAGTGAGCATCTACCTGAAAACTGGATCGACAAAGAATCGAAAATTGTTCATTTGAATAAAACATGAAGCATGTCCAATCCAAATAAATCGTAAACCGGGTTTTGTTAAATAGAATTCTTTGGGTTTTTCATGTCGAATAACGGGTAAAATTTTATCAGGATCTTTTTTATTAGATGGCAATCGTGTATTATCTGGTGAAGTAATCTCCCATATTAAAACAAGCCCTAGATGAGACAATTTATATTGAGGATTGAATGAATTTATGAAACGACCATTTTCTAGTCGAGACTTGACTAATTCATTGGAACCTTTGTCTGTTGCTGTCATGGTTGTTTTTACAGCTGTAGCAATTGCTTGTTGAAATCTGATCTGCCCTAGGCAGAGAGATAATGATGCAAACACATGTAATAGAATTCTGCCTACTCTCTCCCTAAAGTAGAAGAACTCAGTTTTGAAAGATATTTTTCAAGACGGAACAATCCAAATCATGTAGGTTTCTTTGAGAAAGCATGTTTTGTAGAAAGAAAATAATTCATCATGTAAAAGACATGGGATTCAGGTCTGTAGTATTATTACTTTTGTAATATTACCTGTCAGCAACATAATTATAAGACATAAGACAGCATACATTTTCTGAAATTGTTCAGTGACTCGAACCAGAGACTAATGCTCTTTGAGCTTCGATTGCGATGGCTATCAGAGTAAAGAAGAAGAAAAGTAGTGATTTATACAGTGAAAGTATTACAATTACCATTTTTCAACATTCCTACGATATCAAATAGCTTATCCTATCGATGTTCGCACAAAATATCTTTCAATCTATCTTAATCATCATTCAGATAAAAAGGAAATTTGATCGGAATACGTTTTTTTTTGTTTTTTTTTCAATTAAAATATTACAAACAGTGAGCAACGAATGATACAATCTAGCTCGATTCATTCATTTTTTAAATATCAAGTGCCACGCAAAATGGATGAGATACAAAGGCATAAATTATAGTCTTTAAATAGTCAGTAAAAAATATGGTATGGTAGAGTATGAGAAATTTCTTTTCACAGTTAAAATACTGCTCATGCTAAAACAGATAAGCAGTGCTTTTCGATCTGTTGATATGATATCTTGACATAGGACGAATCGTGATGGATAGATTGAAATCTTGGGTGTGGATGTACATATGAGTGTAGTTTAGGAGAAAATTCACACAATAGAGCCACAGAGAGATTTCTCGTAGACAGCTTCGGGCATCTAAAACAGAAGGATACGGCAAAAATATTGACTTATGACAACTGACGTGAGCGATAGATTGTCTGATCATGCTCAGAGTTTCCTTTTTCTCATAACCCATTCAACATCAAAGTAACTTGATTCAAACTGTTTTGTCACAACCACAAGCATTTAGTTATTCGCCCAATATATATCATGTATCGCAACTTATAATAGATAGACGAATATCAAACTTTGTTTTGTTTTGGTTTAGAAAAACATTGATCGATGGGTAGGCGAGAATGTAATGAGCAGAAAAAAAACGATAAGAGATTGGAATCACTTTCTGAGCGACGAAATGCGGCAAACCAACAACGTCTATAGAGTCCTGCGTATGTTCTTTGACAGTCTTTCATAACGAACTAGACTCATTTGATGATGCCTATTTCTGACTAGAACACGAGCTTATATAGAAAAGAGAAAGACTGAGGAAAATAGAGAATAAACAAGATGATTATATTCACAGACACTAATATGAATATCAGCACAATGGAGTATATCTCTTATGACTTGTTTTTGGATAATTAAATTGAATTTCAATTTGTTGAACAGTTTTTGTATATGCTGCATGAGGAAACGGATAGCTCTTGATGAGAAAATTCGAAGCAAACGATCAAGATCAATGATCGAACTTTATTTAATATAATAAACGCTCACTATTAGTTCTCAAAACTATATATCTATCTCATGTTTCAATGGATACAGTTCGGAAGCCAACAAGTCGTTGTCCGTCTTTTGTCGTTCCAAGTGCCAAGATGACTATTCTTGGTTCGTCACCTATTCGATAGACATAGACATGTTCTAGTTCCCGTTTTAGAAATGATTCCAAAGCTTGAAACCTTCGTGTCAACGCTGGATCACCAAGTGCTTCCGCATTGTCTTCTGAAGTGTAATATCTCAAGAATTCTGTTAAATCTTGTCGTTCCACACGTGTTCCTGTTGGTGACTGTGGTTGAGCAAATTCGATGAGTCGTTTGTTGCTGAGTGGAGTTGGGAAGCTCACAGGTTCGAGAGGATAGTCCGCTTCACTGATATACCATAGACCTTTAGTTAGTTGACGAAGTCGAAGAAGTAGTGAATCGTCGTCTTTCTTCTTCTCAGGCATGTTTTGATACATTGAAGAAGAAGATATATCGTTCTTGAGAACATTAGCAGCAACAGTATAACTGTGACTTTGGTCGACACAGAGAAGGATGATCAGGACAACGAGCATAGTTGTATGGAGCATTACACGTTGATAGTCCATTTTTGGGCGAGTGATACTAGAAACAATCAGTCGATAACGAAGGAAATAAAGCAAATATCAATTTTGTGCACATCAGTTATTTAATATCTCTGTAGGTGTATCGTTTTTGATGGCTTCAAAAATATCCGCTCAATCATATACCTTGTTATTTCGACATTAAACCTAGAAAAGGTAACACGAGAAGTGCTTCAAATCGATTTCAATTTTACCATTATATGTATATATGATTCTGTTGATATTTGATATGATAATCGTTGTTTCTACATACTTTATGGGTGACAAAAGCAGAGCACTATTTTGTTTTTATGTCTCTTATATCTTTATTAAGTGAATGTTCACACATCTTGCAGTATGTTTCGTTGGTCATGCGCACTTATCCTTCTTGTCTACTCTGTATTTTAAAAGTTTGACGTACAAAAATTAGTACATTCATATCATATTCTCACTATTGTTGTACCAAGAATTTAATTTTTTTGACACAAGATTTACATAGCTACAAAAAACAAAAACACTATCTATGAATGAGACTCAGATTTTATCTTTGTTTTTTTTTAATCATTTTGAGTGAATATAATGGAGTATTTAATTATGTTTTCATGTATGTTTTTTCTTTTTTTGCTCTCTTTTCATGAAACTGATCTGCAAAATTATGATGTTCGAAGAAAAATTGACAGTAGAAAACAATTGAATCTATCTTTCTATTAATTGGGAAAATGTTTAATTTCTCTATGCATCTCAACATGCTCAAAATTACAATCCCGTTGTTCGTGTAGTTTTTAACATATCTGGAAGAAATAAAAGACTGAAATTGCATTGTTGACTACTTTTAGTATTGATCATATTTTTTTAATTTACTTTTCGAGACTTTTATTGTCTTTCTCGCTATCCAACTCTAAAACCTATATTTTGTGACGTGATAATTCCATGAACGACCATTAGACTTAAGTGTGGATCCTCTGTTCACCATCACTGACACACTTACTTCCTACATTAGATGTTTCTTAAAATTGATAGAGTAAACTGTTAAGAATTTAAACGAAAAATATCAAAAGCGTAAGAGTCTTTTCTAGTTGAATAATTTAGATTAAACCAACAATTTAAACTGAATATAACAGTTTTTGAAATTCGACTTTATGTTCGCCAATGAGAAGACGAATTCCAAGACAGAAATAAGTAGCAGCATTTATTTAAAAATTCCCATAAGTTTCAACGTAGAAATAAATCCCGGGATCTATCTAAACACTTCAATAAGGTTCACAAGAGAAATGAATTTCGGAATTTATTTAATAAAGTACCGTAAGTCCACCAAAAATAAGTTCCAGAAGCTGCGGATTTGTAAACAGCCATTTTAAATCATTTTTGGCAGGCGCAATATTACGGCCGTTACAGTGATTGTAATCATTGTTTGTCATCGTCATATATGAGATAATTTATTCGGAAATAAAAAAAAAGAAATAAATACATTCAATAATATTTCGTTTAATGATGTGTTATTCAAACAACTTGAATGTATATCTATGTATACAAGAATAAGATTATGAATCATATGCATTTTTTATATTTTCATTATCTATTTAGATTACATGATTCTATTCGTATGGTAATATAAAATAAATCATGAATTATTCTGTTTTGTGATAGAAGATCTGTAAAAGAAAAACAAAAATATCATGTAGCGATAAAATCAATGATTTTATAGCTGAATCATGCAGATCAAAAGACTCATCAACAGTAGTTCAGAATATGTGCATACATGTTCTTATTAGCGTCATTTACTCTGAATATTATTACTTACACATATTAATAAGACTTGTATCATATACGTACGAATAAGATTCCGAATCACATGAATTTCTATAATTTTATATTCGACTTTTCATTTTTATATTTAGTATCTTTTTTTATCATTAACACGATACAAATTGTATGGTATCATGAAACCTATGATGAATCAGATAAATAAAATAAGAGCTTTGAATTTATTATAATTCATCACTAAAATTATTGTTATTATTGTTATAGGTTATTTTCTATTTTTGTTTATAATTTTTACCATCAGGAGTGAGTCATTATGTTTCAATAAATCATATAATAAGTATCATGTTACTAGAAAAACTTTAAAAAAATGAAACATTAATAACAAAAAAATCCAAATGATACATAATTCTATTGTTCTATATAGATGATGCAAGTTCTAAAGAAATTCATATGATATAATATTCGAAATACATTGCACTCGTTCGCATACACACAAATATATTATAAACCACTGATGTTAGATCGATAGATCTCAAACCTTTCAATTTTTATGATTTATCAGTAAAGTTATTGTTCTTATCTTTATGAGTTATTTTATTTATAGTTTATTCTATCATGTATGGTACATCATATGTTTTAGAGTATCATATCATTGGTATCGAGTTATTAATAAAAAAGAAGTAAAAATGAAAATAAATAATAACAAAAATTCATATGCTCCACAAATATTTTGTTATAGATATATATAATTTAAGTTCTTTCGAAATATATATGATAAAATAATTAGATTTCATTGCATTCAGAGACACACAAACAAATTATGATTCACTGATGATGATTTGTTACAAGATAATAATAATAATTGACCGATCTTGAAACCTAAGACCGAAATAATCTAATTTGTTAATTTACTCTTTTGGTGATATAAATGTAATGCATTAAAAGTGCCATTAATTGTATGAGATCTCGCCGTTACTGTTACATAATGCATACTATAGTTGTTCGTAAGGAAAGTTAATTTTTTTGTATTATTAATCATTTAAGAGGTAAACTGTGGACTACTAATTATTAGTTTATTGAATATTTAGCAATGTTCAATCAGCACTTTAGATTGCTTCAGTCTTCGACTTATTATTATTACACATAGCTACATGTGAAAATTTTGAATTTATTTTGATTTGTCCTTGAAATTATTGTCCTTGTTTATTCTTTGTTTTACTTTATACTTTGCTCTATTTTTCATGATTCATCAATATTATTCCGTATATCTTATGATTACTATCATGTTATTAAGAAAAAATAAACGAAAACTAAAAAAAAAAAAATTAAATAATAATTCAAAATTATTTTGTTATAGATGTATGATACAAGTTCTTTGAAAATATATCTAATATAATATTTAGATTCAATTGCACTCAAAGGCTTACACACACATATACTATGAACGACTGTTGATGCGTTAAATCTGAAATTAAGATGATTGATCATTAAAAATTACTCTTCTTATTCGCATGGATTATTTTTTATTTTACTCTAGAACTTGTTGGATTTCAGATGTTTTATGATATGGTTCAGTGTATCATAGAATTAATTTCATATGAATAATAAAAATTAACTTAAAAAACTCGTATATTTAAAAATTATTATGTTATACATATATAATGCAAGTGCTGTGGAAATATATCTGATATAATATCTAAATTCAATTGTATTCAATCACAAACAAACAAAATGTGATTCACTAAACATGGGTTGATACACATGAAAGCATTCAGTTTATTATTAGCCTTGAGTATGATTTTTGTTATTATCATTATAAATTGTATTTAGTTTTTGTTTTATTCAACATGATTCATCATATTTTTCAGTGTATTTTACCATTAGTATTATACTTTTGATCAACAAAAAATTAAAAAATAATAATAAAGAAAAATTGCACATGATTTGAAAAATCCTTTGTTATAGATATACAGTGCAAGCCCTCTGAGATATATAGGTCATTTTGTTTTTTGACATTCAACAAACAACATGACTATGAAAACAATTCGGTATTATTTTCTTATAATTTAAAATACATTGAATGACTATATCATATTTTATATTAAAAGCTCAATAAATATTAAAAGTATTCTATTAGTTTTTTTTCTTTATTTCAATCCATAACAATTTTAAAAAAGACAAAATTTATTTCATTTTAATGCAGAATAAAAATAATTTCATTACATAAAACTTACTACGTGTTTTAGGGATAGAAAATAATCAACTCAATTGCAATTGTTATAATAATTTTAAACAAAAAAAAAAAAAGCATCATCAATTTCAATACAAAGAGATGTGGAAAATATTAGTAGAAGATGTAAACTTATATAATGACAAAAACATACATTGAGTGAGATATTTTCAAATCCTTCAAATAAAAAGTAAGATAGTTTGGAGAAATTATGCTTAAAAATTAGAACATTGATGTTCAATTTTGAAAATAAAATAAATCACATTCTGAATTAGTTACAAAAAGAAATAAGAGACTGTTGAATGAAATCGAAATCAAGGCCACTTTCAATACAAGCCTATTTTGAAACGCAGTATGATACATGACGAAAAAAAACAAATTTTTTCTATTCTTTTGATCATGCATCAAAGATTGCTTCTTTGTTTTGCCTATAGATACTATTTTTGCTTAATTATACAGGTGTGAAAGAGAGAGAGAGAATAATAATTTTATTTATGTATAAACAAGTCACGCGCTTCAATCATTATTATGAATACCAGAGAATAGCGTTGTAATTTAATAATAGAAAAAATGTGTTGCGAAAAAAATAATATATTTATATATCATGCTTTACGTAATAAAAAACATCTACACAAAGAGAAAGATTATTTTGTCTTACTATTTATTTTTTCTCTCTAATGCATATTAAAACAATCCTTTGTAATGCAAGAACACAATAGTTATGCTCGACTAATCTTTATCATAACAGAGAAAAAGAGAGAGAGAAAAATATATGCTAGAAGCTTCTTTCTTTCATCTGTTAAGACATAGATATAGAGATAAAAATACCGATTCAAACATACAATTTCATATTCGCATTTATTTATACATC